TGTCACTAGACATAAATAATGCTTCAGGACATGGGCGGATCTACCTTGGAGCATATGGGGGCAACTGCCCCCAGTCAAAAAAAGAAGTTTTTTTTTACTTATTTTTGTTTTATGTATGGCTGCCCCCAACAAAAAAAAGAAGGCCCCCTGTGACCACTAATTAACCCATTAAATAAAATATTTGTAAACTCCAGTGATATTAAATAATTTCGTACAACATAATTCCTTTAGTATTACTCCCTCCGTCCCAATATATAGTGGATGTTCACTATTCACAAGGTCAAACTTCATTCACTTTCTTTCTCTATTTTCGTTACCGATTTGATAAAATAAAGTACTATTGTCACTACTAATTTTGTAGATCTTTTGATGTAGTATTTTGATATGTAATTTTTAATTTTTAACTCTATACCATTTGTCATATAAAATGATTTGAAAATAATTTCAGTCAAACATCATAAACCGAAACAGGCGCTATAAATTGGGACGGAGGGAGTATAATTTTACTAATTTTAAAATATTTTGTTTTTCTTATTTTAAGTTTGTTTGATATAAAATTAATTTTTTCATCATGATATAAAGTACATTTAAAAAAAACGGGGGCTCTGCCCCCGAACCCCCGCTTTGCTATACTGCCCCCAGTCATTTACAATCCTGGATCCGTCACTACTTCAGGATCAGGGAATATCGATCACTATGGTTTGATCGATCTCAAAAAGGAACTCGCCGCCAAAAAGAAAAACAAAGAACGAAGAACATCTAAAGGACCTACTCACAATGACTAGAGCACACTGATGAGCGGTACGTACGTAATTCAAAAACTTCATTAAGAGTGACTTTCAAGCTAAGACACAAGGAACAGTACAATATTAATGATTAATATCAACACGTACAAAACTCAGGGGTAACTCTTGGATGATTTGTAATTTTAGATAGACGTGGAATATTGATTTTTAGATAATTGCCTAATGATCACACATTTATGTGAACGAAACATCGTAGGTGCTCCAAAAAGACAGTGACAGCAAGAGCGGTTCTGTAAGCCAGTAGCTACGGAACCACGGCCTATTTTAAATTCTTTATATGTGTCTTGAAAATGGTTATATGATCATGAAGCATGGAGCTAGCATACCTAGCTTAGCTGGAAGTGTAGAGATGGAGATGGGAAGAGTTTCATATTGGAACAAATACCGAACTACGACCACATCCAACGGACAAGTGGAAAGGCAAAACAACCATTTGGGGAAAAATTCAATCCTAGCTTTTTCTCAAAACTTTAACCAAATATGTTCTTGGCATTTCATGTCTGAAGTACGACGTAAGCCTAACTCCCAAGCACTCGTAAGGAAAGTTTCGACAAGATCTTCTTTTAGCTTTATTCATTTTATTTGTAGCGTTTATTAACTTTAAACTGCTAACCCTCCGAACTCTTTGGAAACTGCATGGTTTACTTTCGAACATGAAAAAGTACACTGTTTACTATCGAACTCTTTGAAAGTTGGATGATTTACCCCTGAACGTTTAAAAGTGCACCAAACACCTCTGAACAATTTAAAACATTGCATCATTGTTCCTAAAATGTTGTATATGGAGTGCGTTGCTCCCGCACACAAAAATTACGAGTATGATTCATTTGACCCTTGCGAATTCGACAAAATACTACTCTTCCCCAAAATTATCATCTTTATTTAAATGTCCCTTGGTAAACCGTGCAATTTTCGAAGAGTTCAGAGGTATTTAGTGCACTTTTTAATGTTCAGGAGTAAACCGTACAATTTCTAAGGAATTAAGGGGTATTTGCATTGGTGTTTTTTTTAATGTTAAGGAGTTAAACCGTGCAATTTCCAAAAATTCAGGGGTGAAAGGTGCAATTTTCTCTTTTCTAATTCCTTTCAACTTTTCTAAGTCTAGTCGCTTAGACAATGTTTCGTTCAACTTATTTTTTCTCTTTATTACTTATTCTTATTAAAATCAAATCAAATTAGACCAGAGGCAGATCCAGAATTTTTTGACTATGGGGTCCTAAATTCTCTTACCTTCGAGTCTCCACCTCGAGCTAATTCATATATTTTAGAAATAAACTCATAAAATATTTTCTATTTAAATCAATGTTTAAAACCGAACCAGCCAAAGCACTAGAGTGGCGGCTAGGTCGTGAATTTTCTTGGGGTTTTTTGCATCAATCTGGGCTTCCCGGGTTTTTTTGGGGTTAGCCTGAACTTGTTGGGGGTCCGGTTTCAAGTTTGACCTATCCAACCCTCGGATTTGGTCCAATTTTAGTAACCTAGATTACGTACATTCTAGTATCATAATTATTAATAGTGTTGTACAAAGGTATTTTACAATTGGTCAAACCAAGAAGAAACAAATCTATGCTTCTTTCCACTAATTAGTTTAGAAAGACATAAATTGCATTAAGATTTTAACACTTTTTGATGAGTGTAATTGGAAAATAAAAACATATGATCCTATATTGAGAAAGTCATTATGTTTTAGTCCTATTTAAGTAAATTACCCTTTTGATGATTACTATGAAGTATCTTAACATGAACACTAAGGTGAACATCAAATATTTTCTTTATTAAGCGAGAGTCAGACTTTAAAGATTCAAAATTGAAATGACTTTTGAATCTTTTTTAATAGGTGCAAATTGAATTCATAAATCATATCAGTAAAATACTAAATAAAATAAAAAAACAATTCATAATTAATAAATTTAATAATAATCAATTTCAAAAGATTAAAAAATATTGAAAGCATTTTTAAAATTAATTGCATTATGAACGCCCTCTTCTTTTGGGTTGAAATTTTAGAGTTAGGTGTTGGAAGAAACAGAGTTAGAAGAAACTAGGAGTTGGAAAATATTGGAAGATTTTAAGTATTAGAAAATATCACTCAATTAAATGATCATCCATATAAATATGTAAGAAAATTTTAATTTTGAATAAAAAAGAATTCATCAAAAATTAGAATTTAATTTTTTTGACCCAAAAAAAACTCCAAGGTTCGAACATGGCTTTTCCTGGTACTTGTAGGAAGTGCACATTTTCTAGACTGATTAAATTCGTTGTCTAACTCAGGCTTTTTTTACATTTATATTTGATCTCAATTAAAACCTAAAACTTATATGGACTTACACTAGGGAGTAATTTACCAACATATGTAACAAAAAAAATATCCATTCCTGGCAGTGCAAGTCAGACTTTTTTTCCTGGCAGTGCAGGACGGATTTGGCTAATCCGTTTCAATTTGAAAATTTTAAATGAAACGGATTTGGCTAATCCGTTCTAGGTTTTTAATTTACCAGACGGAGTAGCCTACTGCGTTTCACTTTATTTAAAAAAAACCAAAACGGAGTAGGCAAATCCGTTTCATATACAATTAAAGCCAGACGGATTAGCCTACTCCGTCTCTCTATTCGGATAACCCTTCCCCTTCCATCGTCCACTCATTCATTCGCCATCCACACCATCCGCCGACCGCCGACCAGAGCTCGCCATCCACCAAGCGCCGACCGACGACCGAAGGGGAAACCACCGGGACATCTGACCATCCGAACGGGGCAACCGGAAATCCGACCAGGACAATTCGGATTAGCCTAATCCATTTCATGGAGGTATTTTTTATTTTTTTAGTTAATTTATATATATATTTATCATTTTATGATAATATTTAGATTTATGTTTTATAAAATTGTAAAAATTATATAGAATTACCAATTTGGGTGAATTTGTTAATTATAATTGATATATATTATTAGTTTGTAATTGCCTAGTTGTGTGCTTGTATTAAATCAATAAATTCTTATGTGGTTTGAATGAAGTGCGTTGTTATTAAATGAATAAATTGTTATTCTGTAATCTTTGAAGCAAATGGATGTTCATCCAGGACCTATTTCCCGAGACGTTTTAGTTCTTGAAGGCAGAGTACATAGGTGTGATGCAGTATGGGCGGACGAAGAATATGCCAAAAAGAGTCTAAAGTGTCAGAGGACTTGTTCTAGTATATATCCGAGGACTCTAGTTGCTAATAGACCACCTCATGTTATAGAGATCTTACAAGATTATGGATTTTATGGGGTGGAGAAAGTGGGTGGGTTACAGTTAGATTGGGCTCTGATTACTTCTTTAGTGGAGAGATGGAGACCCGAGACACATTCATTCCATCTTCCATTTGGAGAGGTGGGAATTACACTACATAGATGGATTTCACTATTGTCTTCCTGTTATTTCAGTAGATGGAACTCACTTATACGACAAGTATAAGAGATGTTTATTACTTGCCATGGCAACGATGGGAAATGGTGAAATTTTTCCCCTTGCTTTTTCCATTGTTGATGCTGAAGATGGTCCAAGTTGGAAATAGTTCTTGACGAATGTCATGCGTCATGTCGTTCCCCCACATCGTCGTGGATGCATAATATCTGATAGACACAGTGGGATTGAGCATGCATTTGAAAATGTCCCAGAGTTAGGTGGAGGTCGAGTGACTCGAAGATATTGTCTCCGCCACCTACGCAGCAATTTCTGGAATAAGTTCCGAAGTAAGAAGTTGCGGACCTTGATGTACAAATCTGGTAAAGCCCCGAATAGAAGTGAGTTTGACCAGTTGCTACTCCAAATAGCATCCAAAAATCAAGAAGCCTACAACTGGCTTAATGCCATTCCAGAACACAAGTGGGCTTTGTCACATGATGAAGGTGGGTCATGTTATGGTGTAATGACTACAAATTCCTCAGAAAGTTTCAATCATGTCCTTAAAGGATGTCGTTGTTTGCCAGTATATGCCATTGTGATGTTCACCTATGATAAGCTGGTCAAACTTTTCGCTGAGAGGCGAACCAGTGGGTATGTATGGCAGCAATCCAGGTACAATTTTCCTATGAATGTGTGGAAACATATTAGGAAAAATGAAGAAAATAGGCTGTATTGTCGTGTTGTGCAGCACCACGCACAATAAGGGATATACTCTGTGGTGGTGGATGGGTCGTCCTACATTGCTCAACGGGAGACATTTACGGTGAACTTAAATGCACGAACATGTAGCTGTGGTCAATGGGTAACATTTCACCTCCCGTGCAATCATGTCCACGCAGTATGTCATTTTTGTAATGTCACCGTGGATCATTTGATTCCAAATGTTTTTTCAATTCAGTCCTACATCAACGCTTACTCTGGCATTATAATGCCGCTACCGGATGAGTCTCAATGGCCTACTTCAGAGTACGAGATCCTGAGGCCAACACCACGCCAGACCACACGAAACGGCCAACATACGAGAACCCGCTATCCGAATAACATGGACTATCGACCACAGAGACATCGTAACGAGGAATAGCTTTGTCATGATAAAGTTAATACAGACTCAAATACATAATAATTTAAAATGTTTATTCAATCAGTACCTAACACAAAACCGAAGAAGAAAAATACTTATTTAACAATATACATGAGATCGTTATTTTAATAACACAAAACAGAACAAGAAAATTATAGCAATATATTTATGGTGAATAAGTCAATAAATAGTATTTTGTTTAAAATTTTAATGTAGTCTATTATTTACATCTTCTATATGTATGTTTCTCGTTTATTTTGTAATTAATTTGGTTTCTTATACGTAATTTAAAAGTAATAGAAGTAAATTGATTTAATTCAGTTATTAAAAAATTTAAAAAATTATAAAATACAATATTTTAATAAAATAAAGTTAGAAAAATTAAAAAAAAAGTTTATAAAAGTGGATTTAATTTGTTAAAAAGGTTTATAAAAGAGGAGATAAAATAACTAAAAAAAATTTAAAGGGGAAATAAAGGAACAAAGCAACAAATCCGTTTTTAAAGAAAATTACAAAAAAAAATAAATATTGGAACGGATTAGGCTAATCCGTTTGGTAATTAAATAAGTGAAACGGATTAGCCTAATCCGTTTAGTGAAATAATATGCATCAAAACGGATTAGGCAAATCCGATTGGTATTTTGGGGGAAAGTCCACTTTTAAATTGCATTTAAAGGAATGTGATGCAAGGTTTTTACACAAACTGGGAAATGACCCTACACCAGGGTCTGTGGGGTCCCGGGATCCCATGGGACTCTTAGTTCATCCGCCTCTGTACCAGATCAGATCTAATCAGATCAAGTCCAATAAAATTAGATCCGATCAGAATTATTATTACTATTATTATTATTATTATTATTATTATTATTATTATTAATAATAATATTATTGCAACCTATCATTTGATAGTCTTTTCAAATATCTCAATATCAGATTCAAAGGTAATGCTCATGACATAACCGTCTGGAGCCATAACTTGTCTGAACAAAAATTTTAGTGTCCACACCCACCACAAGTGCCATGCAACTAGGATTCCAAGGTAGTTCTTGTGACAACTATAGACATAAATTTCTAATTTTTTGTTTTATTCATTTCAGTTCTAACGTTCAACTTTGAACATTTTCTAAGTCATTTCAATTTTTCTAAGTCTGGTGGCTTAGGCATTGTTCTCTTCAAATTATTTTTTCTGTTTATTACTTATTGTTATTAAAATCAAATAAGACCAGAGCTGACCAAATCTGATCATATCAGGTCAGATCTAACCAGATCAGATCGAACCAGATCAGATCCAATTAGATCAAATCCAATCAGAATAATTATTATTATTATCATTTTTATTATGTTGATTCTAATTATGATTATGATAATAATAATAATAATAATAATAATAATAATAATAATTATTATTATTATTATTATTATTATTATTATTATTATCATCAATTTGTAAAAAGAGGGGGATGGAGTCATAGAGGAACATCAATGTTCGCTCCACTACTTCTCCAAGCTCTCCTGTATTGGGCGTTATTGACGAGAGATTGTACGCCCATTTTGGACCGAGATGGAGAGAGTTGTGTCAATGGCTGACACGCACATCTGCCCTCGCTTAGGCGTGCCTGTTATTGGTCTAAATTGGCCTTGACGGGTGATGGGGTGTCAGGGTGGCACAGATATAAAGTTATGAGAGATTTTATCGTAGTCTTGCCTAAATGATACAATTTGATAATAACTTGTCTTATTGAATATTGAGAGATATGGCCTTATATATAGGGAATACAAGAGTAATCAAAGTACAAGTAGGAAAGGAAAGAATAATCCTAGTAGGAAAGGAAAGAAGTATCCTAATTTAATTATACTTCCTAATATCCCCCCGCAAGCTGATCAACGGAGACGAGGGGCAGCTTGGAACATAAGTACTCAAAAGGAACTGGCGGAAGCGGTTTGGTAAGAATGTCTGCTAGCTGCTCTGAGGAGGAAACATGATGTGGAGTCATAGTGCCTGCCATAACCTCATCTCGTACAAAGTGACAGTCTGTGCCCACATGCTTCATGCGATCATGAAGAACCGGATTTTTGGTGACACAGATAGTCGACTCATTGTCACAGTATAACTTCGGTTTGGACGGAGGAATATCCAGTGCATCAGTGATATATC